TATTAAAAAAATTAAAATATTTTATTTTTAAAATATAAATTAAAATATTTTTTTATTTTTTTCTTAATTTTTAAAATAAAACAGATAATCACGGACTCTTTAACATATTTATATATGTTCATAACTATGCCTTAAATAAACCATACCGCGTAGGTTAGGATGATACTATTGATGGCGATAACAATACAAATAGTAATGGTTGATATTTTCAACATCATCTATAAAATAATGTTTTGTGCCAAAAATAACCTAATATTATAAGAGAAGTCAAACGGAAAGAACTTTACTTTTAGAAGTGGGCCAAATTCAATGGCTGGAGATGGCCTTCTTCACGCAGAATTTTGCAACTTCATCATAGAGCCATTCCTTTTTTCACTAGTTTACAAATTCTTTGAAATCATCTTTTCGCGGTTTTACGGTCACTATCCCTTCACACACACCTTGCTTCCATTCGTGTCATTTCATCGCCTAAGCTGATAAAAAACTATAAGTACCCCCTATTCCCATTAATTAAATCACTGAGCAACTCAGATCTTTTGAAGCGTAGAGACGGACTTCTGCATATGGGATTTTGAGTTTTTCGGCTTTGCTAAATTGGGTTTTCAGCTTCTTCTTTTTTTTTTTTTTTGAGTCATTTGGGAATTTTTTTTCTTCCATTTTAGTAGTTTTTAGAGATGACTGGACGGATGATAAGTTCAAGGGAATTTTGGACAAAAAAGACACTGATAGGACTTGGGTTAGGCCAGTTTCTGTCTCTTCTCATAACTTCCACGGGATTCACGTCCTCTGAGCTTGCCAGCAAGAGTTAGTTTCTCTTTGTTAAAGAATTCTCTTTTATTTTATTTTTATTTTATTTTTATTTTTGGTTTTGCAATATTGATTCTGTTATTGTTGATTGCAATTTACAATGGTTGTATTTGCAGATAATTTACTGAATTATTATTATTATTATTTTGATTTGGTGAATGTTTGCTAAAGAAATATTGTTGCTTTTGTTTTCCCTTTTGCTTCTGATTTGTATTTATTTCTGTGGATTGTAGATATTAACGCTCCAACTTCACAGTCCTTTCTTAATTATGTCATGTTGGCTATTTTCTATGGAAGTATCATGCTTTACAGAAAGCAAGCACTAAAGGTATTTCTCTTCCTTCTGGCTTTGGGTTATTCTTCTCTCGACTTGTAGTGAATTTTGATTATTTGCAGAATTCTGTTGTAAGGTCTATTTAGTTTTTTTTTTTTTTAATTATTATCATAAAACATAGTTTCTGAAGGTAGGTTATAGAGTAACACTTGCAGAAAAAGCTAGATTCTTGAATGGAGGAGTTGGTTGGTTCCTTTGGTTTTTGTTGTACTTCACAGTCCTCCTTGATGAGAAGGATGTTCCCATATTCAGTTTACGGCTCTTGTGTTTTGATTATTAAGGTATTATAATTATTAGAATTGTTTTTTGATTTCTTTTGGGTTAGAAGTTGGAAGTCAGAGCTGCTCAAGCTCTACCTAGGAGTGTGGCATGGGCCTTTGGAGAAGCAGAAGCTGCGTTTTTAGAGGACAATGCTAGCTGTTATAGGAGATTGTCAGATTAGAGATTTGCTCATTAGATGTAACTTTGTGAATTTTCCTGGGCAAAGTTGAATATGGCAATGAAGAATACTGTCATGTTGATCCAACTAATCCTTTCTTTCATTCCCTAATTTTCACTTTTTTTTCTTTGTTTCATATTTACTATTGAGAGATTGATTTCAGTCTTATTGTAATTTGGTCAGGCAAAATGGTACTATTATATTCTCCTTGGATTGGTAGATGTGGAGGCTAATTTTCTTGGTGAGTGTCTTCTGATGAGAGGGGTGTGGTTCTTTATTCATTGCTGTCCCTATAAAGTCTTTCCAATGAATCTGGCTGATTTAACATGGTATCCTGCACCTTTGTTTGTCTTTTAATTTTTTTACATACTTGCATTATCCCCCTAAATCTTTGAAGCTATCCTGAGAACTTTTGGATTGAATGCAATTAACTGGTATAGTGTTCATTTTCAGAAGCTTTCAGCCTGCTAAATATTGATTGCATAAAACTATTTCCTATTGACTCTCATGCCCTATGGAATAAAATTGTTTTGTTGTGGTATAATCCCATGTTGGTTTAGTTTGAGGCTTGTTATGGATTTAGATTCAAGTTGGGCCTCTCCACCTACTACCAAGTCAATTTTGGTAGGATTCCTTGACAAGGTGTACAATTCAAGTTGTTTCTTGCCCCATCTGTTGTCCACCACAGCCCATTTGTGCCTATTTTCACAGTAGTCTCCCAGTATATGGTCACTACAGTTTTCTTGCTTTTGAAAAAACTGGAAATTTATGCATGGCATTTCATAAATGACAGTTCTGCTTGGAAGGGATGTTAATTCAAGAATGTCCTTGTGGCTGCTTAGGTTATTGAGTGTATTTGTGGTTTGAATGGAGAAGGAAATAGTTTGCTAAACAAATATGAAAAAAAAAAAGTTAGCCTTGATAAGTGAGTGCAGTAACATAGTAGCTGTTAAAATTTCAAGTACTTATTCATGAAAAATAAATCTCATTGATGTAAACTATGGTCTTCTATAAAATAATCTAACCATAAATGGAGAAATTTTATGATGGGTTTTGCTTGTGAAATTGATTATCTTGTGCTTCTACTGTGTTCCTCATGTCACCATTATTTCAAATATTGAAAGATTGTCCATCTACTTATAACCACTGGTGTTGAATTGTGCTTGAAAATTCTTTAATTTTCAAAAAAAATTAATTTAATCTCCATTATATGTGCAGTGGTGAAGGCCTATCAGTACACATCTATAACAAGCATCATGCTGCTTGATTGTTGGTCCATCCCTTCTGTCATGCTTCTTACCTGGATTTTCTTGAAAACTAAGTATAGATATAAAAAGGTAGCTGGTGTGGTTGTTTGTATTGCTGGCCTTGTCATGGTTGTTTTTTCAGATGTTCATAGATCTGACCGAGCAGCAGGTAAAGGAGAGATGCTTTTAAACAAGTTAACCTGAATTTTATCATGGTTTTATTTTAGATTCTGCTTGTTGCACATTTTGTGTATGAGAAACGAATACATAAAGAACATGACACAAATTTAGGAACTCTGCTGTTTCAATTGATTGTTTTTATGTCTTTCATCTGTATGAGTTTCTCTATGTTGACTATGTAACTGTCTCCTTTTACTATGGAGGACTAAAGTTTCAATTTTAGCGCCCTCTGTAATGCTAGAGTTGTATTATAGGATTGCATAGTAAATTATAGTTTCACCTCGGTTGGTTGTGGGGGTATTGAGACTTAGCACTTAAATCTCAAAAAATGAAGAAAACCAAACTTATTTTTTCAATGGATAAAAGAGCTAAGATTCTAAGAAAATGACTTAAGCACCATATCTATGTCCGTGTGTGTGCACTGGACCCGATGTTTCGACCAGTGAGAGGAAAGAGATTAAAGAGACAGAAAAAGGGGGAGAAAGAGAGAGGAGAAGAGAGTTTTTTACTGGAGAAAATTAGAATTTAAATGTTATGTCTTCTGTTAAAAATTTTAATGGTAGTGCTCCTCTAGGACTAATAGATTAGATCTCAATGGATTATTTGTCAATTTTCAGAACCTTTTGTCAAAGTGGTGGACCAGAAACCAAAAAAGTGGATGAGAGCTCTGTATTTTATTGTGGAATTCTAAATTTTAATTTCAGGGCATTCTTTTGTTATTATTAATCTGTAGTTCATTTTTAAGACGCTAAGATGGAGACATCTGTATCTATCAAGGATATTCTGATGTTATAACTGCACTTGTACTTTGGGTTGTAGGAGGTAGCAACCCACGTAAAGGGGATTTTCTTGTTATAGCTGGATCAACATTATATGCAGTTAGTAATGTTAGTGAGGTAAGTGTTTTCATAATAATCTGCAAGAAACATGCATGTATTTTTCCCTTTTATGAAACTGGTGCTATGGCCTTTTTCTATCTTGAGTAACAGATATCAAAATAGAAAGAATTTTAGCTTCACATGTACTTTTTTGTGCATTTAGCTACTGTTTGCTATCATTGTCAAAGTTGAAAAATTAAAAATATAAACTAAAACTGGCAAGTGATAACTTGTTTAATTGGACTCTAAATTGACAAGAAAGAATGTTTGATTGCAACTTATAGATGGTAAATTCCTGGTCCCATTTTCCCACTTCATCTCAAGTCATTCTGCAGATTTGCTTTCTTGCATCCATCATGGTTCTTCTCTGCCCCTTGTCTCCTCTCTTTTTCTTCCATTTTTCTGTTCCTCTTTTGCTCGTCTATGTTTTTCTGTTCCTCTTTTTGAACTTCACTATTTGGGTTTGATGTCAATCTTTACTAAGGTTATCTTAGTATTTTGCTCTACTGGAAGGTAGAGTTGAAGGTGAATTTTAGGGGTGGGAAACATTTTATTTTGTGCATATGCAGAATAACCATTATTTATATGTAAAGACCAATTGATGTCTGGAAATAGTGGCAAGGCCTAGGACACAACTAGCCTCAAACATGACTGAGGTATTACCACTACATGGCATTTTTAAATGAAATGGTTGCTTTAATTTATATTCTTTTTCATCTATGGCATCTGTTGATGGCATAAGAGACTGCTAGTAATCTGGTCCTAACATTTTTCTTTTACACTTCATTCATTTTTTTCCTTTTCTGTATGTAGGAGGCTATTCTAGAGTTTTGACAATCAATGATTCTGTTTTATGCAGGAGTTTCTTGTTAAAAATGCTGATAGAGTTGAACTCATGTCATTTTTGGGCCTCTTTGGTGCTATTATCAGTGCAATACAAATGTATCCTTGATTTCATTGATTATTCCTGTTTTTTTGGGTCAAATTTCATTGATTATTCTTAATGCTTTGTCTTCATATCATTTTTGTTCATGTAATGCTAGTGGACTTTTTTCAATCATTCATATATAAGCAAATTATGATTATCAATCCGTAGCCCTTAATTTTATCCCTAGAAGCATACTTGAACGCAGTGAGCTCAAAAGTATTCACTGGTCAGCTGGTGCTGTAAGTTCATCCCTCCTTTCCTCTATGCACCTGTATTACTGAGTCATTGAAACATTTATATTTTGTACAGCGGCCTCAAAGTATCCATAATATGCTTTACCATCTGCTTGAAGATTGTTTCCCTTTGATTCTCCAATAAATTTTAGAGATCATATTAATATTAGAACACTGGAATTGCTGTTAGTGAGATCTGAAAAATAAAAGAAACCACCTTAACTAACCCACCTGTAGCAGTTTAGGGATGAAGTTGAAAGGCAATAAAATATATTTTGGAACAGACAATGAGATCTACTACAGCAAAAGATGTTCTGAGTCTTCTCTTTCTACTAGAAAGAAACCAATATAGTGCATAAGGAGTTGATCTCTGAAAAATGAAGAGATGAACCCTCTCATATGATCCCAAAATGTGATCATTATCTGTGCAGCTGAGGAGGTTGATGAGGCAGACTAAACAATGTCTGAGAGTTAATTAATACTATATATGTGTTAATTTATAAATTAAAGTCTCATCTTATATCCTCTGATTCTGAATATATTCATCCCCAAATATCTTTTATCAAATTGATAATAGTAAACACAAAGATGCACCTTTCATCTCCGGTTTAATGTTTTGGTGGTTAACCAATTCATTTTTGAATTCATATAGGAGTCTGAGCATTGTTTCCTTTATAGATTATGCCTTTCCTTCATTTCATTATTTCAGGCACTTCCTTTCGTTGGATTTTCAGTCGCTATGTTTCTCTTTTACTCGTTAGTGCCGGTGTTACTCAAGGTAGATTTTGTCCATTATTGAGTTGATATCCTGCTTTTATCAACAAATATTTTTCTCAATCATTTGCCCATGTTTCTATTAGAGTTATAGTCAACATTTTTTTTTTTTTTTTTTTTTGCATATATTTTACTTCTCCTTAATTTATGAATTGTAATCATTTGATACCTGTAATATAAGCTTGCTTTCTGATTAGTGAAAGAAGATATTATATAGGCTGTTTGGGTGACAACTTTGTGCAATACGATTTTGAGCTTGACTTGTTAGGCATATGCATGTCCCTGTCACAGTCAGTTAATCCTTAAACTAGATGTTATGATCCTACAATTATTCAATTGAAAGATGACCATCAGTTTGGCTACCTCACTGAATTTCTGAAATAGGACCATAGTAGGAAGTCAATTTGGGTCATGGAATGGTTGAATATTGATTCTATTTCCTATCCCAATATTTTATCATATGGAGGAATATAAGCTATTTTTTGGGTTGATATAGAGAATAGAAACCTGAAAGCACCACTCGTATCTGCATTCTGAAAAATAAATCCTGAGATTTCCGATTTCTTGCAGATGAATGGTTCCACAATGTTGAACCTCTCTTTGCTGACCTCAGATATGTGGGCAGTCCTCATCCGTATTTTTGCTTACCACCAGAAGGTTTGTACTGTATTTAAACTGATATTGGCATTCATTTATTGCAAAATCTATGACTAAATTTCAGAATTAATTGGTTAGAACTTGGAATACAGAATACCTTTGAATGATTGGATATCTTGTCGTTGTATCCTCTTTAGGTGGACTGGATGTATTTTGTGGCCTTCGCTGCTGTTACTCTTGGACTTATTATTTATTCAGGGTATGTAGTTTTGCAGCCTCCTCCCATTGTTTTTGACTTTGCACTTAACAAGATCAATTTGAATAATCTTGTTCTGTGATTCCATGCGGATGATTATGTAATTTTGTGTTTATAATATTAATTGATTAGTTAAATAATGGCCACTAATTTATCTTTGTAAGTTTAAAATGGCACATTCTTTTTCCACATATTTCATACAATTAAAAAATGATTTTTTTAGTTAAAAATTTGACATCCCAGCCTTTTGAATTTATTGTTGGTATTTTCTCTTCCTTTGTAATTTTTCTGACTTTTTAATTTTTTTGACATTTTTTGGGGAAAAAAAAAAAGGAAAAAAGGAAAACAACTAGGTGTCCTAGGCACAAGGCGGTGTCCCAACACCTAGCCACTGCCTAGTGCTTTGCAACTTTGGAACCAGTTTGCTTAAATTTGGGAGTCTTGTACCATACAACTGTATAGTTTGATTGATAACCATGTTCTGTCACCATTTGTGAACTTCATCATTCTTTCCTTTCCTAATTATAAGTGTGTGTTTAAAACAGAAGCCATTTTTGCTTGTTTCTTTCTTTTGTGCTCAAATTTGGGTGATTGGTAAGGGATGAGGGGAATGAATGAGGGAGAGAAGTTAGGTTTGAGGGATACAATGGCTTGACAGGTAGAAGTACTCATGGGGCTTCACTGCAGAACCTCTTTTTAGCTCGCACAGTTGATTACATGGTAATCCTATCCTCTTATCTTTTCTTAGGGGTGAAAAGGAAGAGGATCAACGCCGAGATGAAGTTGCTGATGGAGAGTCTGAGCAAAGCAAACATTTTGATGAAGAGACTGGTTCCAGAAACCTTAATCGAGGAACTACTGCTGGAAGCTCAAAACTGGGAGATACTAGCAAGCATGGTTCTACCAGTAGCATTTGGGGAAGGGAAGATGTTGAGAACAGAAGCCTTGGAAAAGGTACACCAGGGAAGCTATCATGATTTGGTTTTTTCCTCCTAGGAATAGTAAGGAACCGCACAACACTTACATGACACAAAGAACCTAGGAGTTCATTATTTGAAAAGAAAACCACATTTGAATAAATGGTTGCAGCCACAAAGGGAATTGTGAGGTAGTAATTGTGGTTTTGATTTGGTGCTTTAGCCTCGACATATATTAGAGCTTTTCAGAATTACTGAAATGTTTTCTTAATTCTTCTTGCTTTGAGCACGGGTGCTCCTAGCGACTGCAATTTGACACTCCCTCTTACATTATGACACGTCATTTAACTTTTTAAAGGGTTACCGGATACTTATTTACAATAACACGTAACAGATAACTTATGAGAAATAAAAGAAAAAATGTCAAAAAGTCAAATCCTCCAACTGACCTTCGCCGTAGTTCTGGAGCCTTCCGGCTTTGTTGAACTCTACACTTTCTTCTCCGACTATTCCCTTTCTTTTACCGTACTTCTTCTGTTTTTTTTTTTTTTTTTTAAATCCATCCTTAATTTTCTTCTTTTCAGAACTATTTTTTTTCTTTCTCCAATTGTTTTTTTTTCATTGCTTCTATATCTCCAGTTTTTTAATTTTTAAAATTTTTCTATTTCTATGTGCACATTTGTTTCAAATCTGGTTTGATTATGGGAAAAAGAAGAGAAAGAATAATCTTTTTCAATTACTTGGCTCCATGCTTCTCTGTCTCGTAGACATTCCCTTTAAAAGCAATTGGCAATCCTCCAAAATTGGCTGCATTTGCAAAAGAAATCAAGTATTGGGTACTCAATCAGATCAGACACTGGAAAGAAAGGGTAAGTTTGGGGTTTTTAGTTGGGTTATGAATAGATGGCAGAGAAGAGGAGAAGGCAATTTTCTAGATTTGAGATAACAGATAAAACATCGAAAATTTTGAGAGAAAGGGAGAAACAAAAGTGATCTTGGTGTCCCTTTTTTTTTTTTAATGGGAAAAAGAGATATGGGTGTTATATTCAATATTTCTTTGTAGTGGAATTAATTGGTACCAGCATTGGTTGGAAAGTTTTTTGTTCTGTGAAAAAATGGTCATAAATCTATATTGAATGAAATTTTGCCTATTATTTCCTCTTTTGTATCCTCAAATATGATTTAGGACCATTAAATTTTTCTATAACTCTACCCAAAATTGATCATCCTGAACCAAACAAAGGGATTTGGGGATAAAATAAAAGCTAAAATGAAGAAAACCAAAATCGCAAATACATAAACCCATGTATAAAAGGAACTGCTCTTTTTGTTTTGATCATGGAAAAGAGGTTGGAAATCAAATCCCCTAATTGATCAGTAGCGTCCTCCAGGAAATATGGAGGATTTTTTTCACTTCCATAGAGTTCCCATTTCTTAAAAAAGAAGAAAAAGAAGAAGAAGAAGAAGAAGAAGAAGAAAACTCAATGATAATAGAGGACTTGGGAATGACAAAGGGCAAGAGGGGAGAACCAACGTAGCAAGAGGAGGATTAAGTAAAAGCAAACGGATGGAAATCGGTTGCCCGTTTGGGTGTCAAACTCTCTTGTTGCGTGTCATTAGAAGAAGCGCAAGTGTCCAGGTGGGTGCAAATGGGCGAGTTTCCTTAGCAGCCCTCTTTTGCTTTTTATTTTCGCATGAATTTAATGGCCTCAAGAATGTACCAGTTAGGTGTATGGATCGCTTAATATCATTACACGTTTAAAACGAAATTTTCTAAGCCATATCCTTCTGTGGGAAGATGGCAAGCATTTTCATATCAGCTTTCAATGTAACAGCATTTTGGAATTGGTTCCATCTTCTAATTCTAAAGCCTAGAATGTTATGGTTGTGAGAAGATTTTCCATATCAGGAGAAAAATGTTAATGGTATTATCGATCGATATAAAGGGAGGTTGGTTGCCAAAGGATTTGATAGATACTGAGACGATTGTTTTAAAACTTTCAAGCTTAACCAACGACCTTTCGATATGTTTTTTTCTTTGGTTTCTTGTGCAATTGGATGTGAATAATGCCATTTTACCAGTGAACTTTCAGAAGTTTATATGCGGCAACCACCTGGCTTTGTTGATAAAGATTTTCCTTGACATGTTTTTAAGCTTTGAAAATCACGGTTAGGGTCTCAAGCTAGCTTCTCTAGTATCTGTTTCTGAGCTCCGTTCTCTTCACTTTATACGAGCTAAGTTGGATACTTGTTTTTCATCATGAAGGTATTTTATGATCTTGTGACATTAATTTTTGTGGATGACATAATTATTATTTTGGAAATAATTCTCAGCATGTTGATAATGTTATTTCAGGTTTAAGCAAAGAAATTCTCCATCGAAGCCCTTGGCAGCTTGCATTATTTTCTGGTTGTTGAAGTCATTCCTGCATCTAAAGGGTTCTTTCTCTCGAAAAAATTTCATTATTCCGTCAACGAACTCTCCCAATATATGCACTCTCCAGCCAAACAAACATTGGGAAGCCCTTAAATGGTTCTATTACTAAAAGGCTAAATGCCAATATTAGTCCCCCAAACTTTCAATTTTGAACCTCATTAGCTCTTAATCTGTTTTTTTTTTTTTTTTTTTTAAGTCTTTAAACTATGAAAAATATACTTTTTTTACTCCTTTTGTCATTTAGTTTGTGAAGCCTATAATGAAATCACTAACTTCCTGGAGGTGATGATCACTGGAAAAACGAGTTCCATCAAGTTCCATCCAATAGTCAAGACGTCATATTTTCCCTTTGCCCATGACTTCAACACCATTGAATATTCAGTCCTTTTAGAGTCATACGTGGTAACTTCAAATCCATCATTTAGAACAAGAGCTGCCTTATCTTCATTCAATAGAGGCTTTTTTTTTTTTTTTTTTTGACAAGGGCAATGGTTAGTATATTAGGTGAGTTATTTGTTAAAAGCTGAAGATTCAATCCCCAAATAAGGGTGAGCTAGCGCCACCCCCTCCTCATTGAGGAGTGCGGCCCAACCAATGGGCTGCATGGTGGAGCTCCATTCAATAGAGGCTTAATGGCAATATCAACATTGTCTTTCCAAATCATCAACTTGCCTTGACCATGAGTCACATCACTTCTTAACAGTTGCACTTTCCAATAAGGCCATGTAAGTGTGCCACTAAAAGGATATCTGGTGACTGGTAATGATAAGGCAGCTTTGGTAACCTGGGTGAAGTAATTATAAGTTGGACTTCGACCTACCTACCTACATGTAAGTGTGCCACTAAAAGATTCTTTATTTCTAGTGCTCCTACCATAATGCACTTCTCTACAATCTACTTTTTGATAGTTGTGTAATCACTCTTGGCCATAACTATCTTGCTGCCATCGCCTAGCTCTTTTCCTTCCCCTCACGGCTTGGCTAGAGAAACTGCATTATCAGACTTGGCTAGGGAGTTTGGCACTAACTGCACCACTAGACAGATTGAAACGACTCGTGGCACATAGCATTCTGCACATGAAACAGGTATTGCCAAAAAAACCCTCCTCACCTTTCCTAAGTGTCATCCTAGTTTACTTCCAGATCGTTACCATCGTTGACTCACCAATCCACATCATATGCACACCCCAACAAATACTATCCTAAAATTAGGTTATAACAACCATTATTTTGAAACTTGAACAAAACTAGTTGGTTCAACTAGAATCTATCTTAATAATGGCTGGGGTTATGATATTGATATTAACCCAATAGTAGTTAAAGCTGGTCAAATTCGATCAACACCCGCCCACACCTAGCAAAACCTGCTCAAACTTAGTTAAATCTAATTGACCCAAACTATTTTTTTTTCCTTGTTTTTTACTCTTTTTTTTTTACATTTTTACTCTTTTTTATTTTTCTTTAATTAATTAATTTATTTATTTTAAAGATAATATAATAATTAAATTATAAAATCTACTTAAATTTAAATTATTATTAATGAATGAAAATCTTTAAATTAATTTAAAGAATACTCAATCACTCTTGTAATATCATTAAGTGCTTCTCTTCTTAAAGCTCTCCAAGAGTATTGGTGACTAAGGCATTAAAGTGTATCTTTCTTGAGGTCCACCTTCAAGTCTTTACACACCAATGGACACAATCTAATCCCAATTAGCCCACCAAAGTCAAACCTTATATTTTCTATTTGCCACATAAGATTCCACTAAGCCTTTTAACTTTTTAGCAACAAACCTCAGGTCATAGATTTTAAGCACTCAAATGGCTCAATAGACCAATCATCTGTTATATTCTTAAATTCAAATATAGATTAATAAGATATATTTGTTAGGTTTTCTTTACATTTTGATGATGATTTAAAACTATGATTTCAAGAATTTAATATATTTTGTGCTAAGTGTGTAAGAAAGTTAATTCAAGGGGTCTAAACTTTTCTGACAATTAAAATCAAAGCATATTAAGCCTTTATTCTCCTTGCCTAGAGTTTCATGTTTGAATTGATTCCAAAAGATCTAAACCAATCCCACAATTTAAAACTCAAGCTTTTTCAAAAACAGTTTAAACCAATACTTCTAGGTTCAAACTAAAAATTTTGGAAGGGACAATTTTGATAGTTCAAAATCAAACTCGTCTTAATAGGTCTTGAAGGACTCAATTAATTGAGCTAGTTTCCAAAGACTATTTAAAGTTTGTTATGGAAAGTAGAAAAAATGTGGAATTTGATTGGAACAATTGTTGAGGTGGCATTTAAGACCAAAACAAGATTTAATTGCAAAGATTTCTCAACCTACTTTTAAAGATATTAGAATTAGATTTGAAATGCTAAAAATAGACTTCTAGAGAGATATAGAGCAAATTTGAATTCTAGAATTTTAATTTCTTATGAGTTCTTTGGGTAACTTTTATTTACAAGAGTTTTGTAATATTCTTGGATTGGGATCATCTTTGAAGGGGTTAAGTGAGTTATTGAAATTCACTTGTATATGGTTCCTAACACTTGAAAGCTAGGTGTAATCTTACATCCGTAAGCAAGAATTTGTTTCGATTTAATTTGTATCCATAAGTAACTAGATCCTAGTGGATTGAACTCTTGAGTAAAGAGGATTTG